TAAATTAGAAATAAAACGAAATTTTCTTACCAACAGCTAACATTGCACAAGTTTTTGTTTAAAACAAATGTCCATTATCCATTATGAAACGCTGTGGTTTTGTGCATAACTCTTTCATGAGCGACCTAAAAGTTTTAAAAAGATGAACATAGCTTCAATTGTAAAGGGCATCCTAGCAACTCAACTGCTGTCGTCTTTATAAAGCTATATATTGATCTATAATGTTTCCTATTTTAATAACAGGGTTTGCGTTTATATATGCCATATTATAAAATATAAATAGTTTTCGACCATCCGTTATGTACAACCCGTCGTCTGGGTTATTTTATACTATAAAATGAAAAGAAAAAACAAAACATAAGACTTTCACTGACGGCTATTCCGTGCATAATATTGCATTAACATTAAAGTTACATGCCCCCAGCGGAGTCAAAATATTTCAATAAAATCAAATTTAAAAAAAATGTTCTAAACTTTTAGTAATTTTTTACATGTTCTGTGCGATTAATGACGGATTTTCCAGTACAATGTATTTACAACTATATTTCTACTAACGCAGTAAGGGCTATTTATGCATATTTTGACCACTTTTTGGTAATTTACGGGGGTTGTAAGTGTCATTGAAAATGTTTAAATTGCTTCTTTTTAGCTACTTCACAATATAAACATTCAGATACATTTTCAAAATATTCATGCTAATTAGCATTAATCTCGAGGCGTGCTGCTTTAAATGCGCTACTAGTATTTAATTAAGGGGGAGTGGACGGTAACTTGCACTTTCCATTACCAAACCGGGCCTGAATCATTTTAAATTGTCGTTTTGAGTGTTCTTAAGGGATTCCGTTTTCTCTATCTTTTTAACTTGTGTTGTTCCGGTATTCCTACTTAAATACTGTTTAATCATCATAAAGATATGGTACCTGCTTTTTAAATATGTCTTTTGACGGCGTCTTATCTATGATATGCAGGCTTCATAACCTCTGATCCCCTTTCAAAATCCAATTTCATTTAGTTTTGCTCATTGTTTTCTCGTTAAGAGCACACGCATTTTTTTTATTTGGGGATCATATGCCGCTTTTCATTGAATGGCATTAACGTGTAACATTGAAAGTGTCATGATAATCGCCATATGAACACATCTGCGGATGTTTCAAAATTCAAAATTTTACCAGTTCAGGTTAAATGTTGAATTCTGCATAAGCTGGTGCTAGGGGGTGTGGACGGTAACTTGCACTTTCCATTAACGTCCATGAACAGGCTCAATCAAACCGAGCCTGCAGCATTTTCAATTTTATCGTTTTGGGCGTTCTCTTCTCTATTTTATGAATAAGTTGCATTCTTAAGATGGTGTCATTACGCTTACGAATTGGTGCAAATTTGTTTTATATAAATTATATTAAGTGATATGGCTAAAAACTCAAGTGCTTTAGTGTATGTGAAATGTTATGGAAAGATAACATAATAAGAAAGGAATATATTATCAATAAAAATGCAATATTATTATTGCCTTAAAAATGTAAGCTATTTTATCGAGGGAGAATAAAAAATGCTGTAGACTTTTCCAATATGACATGAGGTGTACAGATTATTCTAATTCATTGTTTTGTGCATTGTCAGATTTAACAGCAACATTTTTGTTGAAATAAACGATGGCGTAGCTTGCGCCGCCTAAAATGTAAAATTTATATTACCAAGGTTGTTTGGCTATTCTTATCCGGTACCGAAACAAAAACAAAAACTGAATCAATTAAAATGGACACTACAAAAAGGAAAACAAATGAAAACAAATCAAATAACAGAAAATCTTACTTGACAAATTACATACAGAACGTTTAAGTTAACCACACTATAATAAGTCCAAATTGTTGAAACAGACGCGTAACTTTTATCCAAGCTTTGAGGAAAATATGCTAATTTACATCATTGCTAAGTTCATCTAAACTGGAAAAAAAGGCAAGAAAACGGTGTGCAATGAATATGTTTCATAATACGCCTACATCGATGCAATTATAAAGTACAAAGTTTAAGTTGTAAGAAGGGCGTTTACTTTTCCTGCGCAAAGTAATAAGCTTTTTCTACGTTAGAATGCAAGTATGTATCAATTGTACAAAATATTATTATATCTATAACACAATAGCACGAAAAACAGACTGATTAAAGAAATGCGTACAAATAAGCGGATGTTATGCTCTAGCATTTATATACATGTATAACCTACGAAACGAATACAGTAAAACGTTCTATAATATTGACAGATTGTTTTGTTTTTTTTTAATCGGAAATTAATAAGTTTACATCTGACGGATTTTTCATCTATCTAAGTAAAAACATTTTGGTTTGCATAATAAAATAGACTGATATACATAACTAATATAAATTATACATGAATGATATATACATGTTTGATAAAAATCATATATGAAAGGTATAAATGACTGACACAAATCATGTATGAGAGGTACATATAACTGATATAAACCATGTATAAGTGTTTTAACATAATTAATAAAATCATGTATGAATATTCAAAATAAAAATAAAGACTTTTTTCAAAACTGCGTATGTTATATATGATAAGTGCATGTGTTTGGATTAATAAATATACAATAAGTCAGGATTTTAAGGCGTTTAGAAATTCTACACCCCAAGTGTCTGTACTTTAATAAACTACTATCTTAAATGTCAAATTATTTATACTGTGTTATTTTAGTATTTTTGGTTTTGTTGTGCGCAAATGAAACAGGATATGTTTTATTTAATCTCAAAATTATTTTGCATAAGAATGCGTGGCCGTACGCAATTTAAATATAATTTGATTCTTTTTATTTCACATTGAATAATAGATGAACGATGAATAACACAATCAAATTTAAGCCAGACAAAGTATATGAATTTTGATACGTCATTTACCCATAGCGACTAGAGTTTGTTTATATTCTGTATTCTGCAGTAGCAACGTCAATTACTTATTGTGCCTCAGAAATCCATATTTATTATATTCTTAAGAAGTGTGAAGCATGTGTTTAATAATGTTTTATTAATGGATTTAGAGCATGTTAGATGTTTGACAACAGAAGAACAGAAGAAAGTAGCGCTAAATGTGTAGTACTAAATGTGTTGTAAAGGTAGCAAAATGTAAACAAAGTTGTATTCACAATAACTATACCAATTTGCAACAAACCAATGCATCTGTAACAAGATACCAAAAATAAAAGGTTTTTTGAGACATACAAATAGAAATATTCATGAGGCATAATGGGCCTTTAAACGTTTAATATATTACATTTAGTACATAGTCCTTTCACGTATTTTAATTTTACTTTTCATAGTATATTATATGGGTTTATTACATTCCGTTACATTTCATTTTCTAGCAAAGCTAGATATGTCCATTGTTATTTCTCATAACAAAATACAATACTTATGACACTAGTGTCTGTTGTTTTTTTTCTTTTTTGCTTGGTTTGTGTCGTTTTGGTTTTTGTTAAGTTTTCATTTCATTTTCAAGTTTTATGATGTTTTTTGTTTTGTTTATTGTTTTTGTGTTGTTTTTGTGGTTTTTTTGGGGTGGGTGGTTCTTTTCTTTTTCACGTTTTATGGTGTTTTGTTTGTTTTTTATTATTGTTGGTGTTGTTGTTGTTGTTGAAGTTGTTGTTGTTGTTGTTGTTGTTGTTAAAGTTGTTGTTGTTGTTAAAGTTGTTGTTGAAGTTGTTGTTGTTGTTGTTGTTGTTGTTGAAGTTGTTGTTAAAGTTGTTGTTGAAGTTGTTGTTGTTGTTGGGTGCATCAGCTCTTTTTTTTTCTTTTATTGAGGTAGCAAGAAGCAATCCAAAAGACAGAAACTAGCATGCAAATATCGTAGTTATGAATGAAGACGTATCATTGTAATGTTAAACCCTGACTCTTCTATAACTCTATTGATTATAACTGTGTTTTATTAATACGTACTGCTGATATTTGCATATCATTCTCACAAAAATAGAGATTTTATCACAATTATTTCAAAAGCTTTCTAACTTGACTTTTCACTTCCTAATGGAACAGCATTACTTTATTGCTTTATGTCACATGTACAACGGCTAAATGATATGTCAGCTGTTGAAATACAAAATGCATTGCATTTTATGATTTTACTAATTTTATGATTTTATGAACACATATCAACATAAGATGAAGAACATTTTATAAAGTATATACTCATTTAAGGTGCATTTATCGAGACATGTATTGATTAAAATCCATTTATCTAATCTATCAATACATATACTGATAAAATCATACCATGAAACAACCTGTAGCAGATCATTTTATTTTATTTCAGATAGGAAAGTGTATCAATACAGAAACAGATTATATAGTGACATGAATATGGAGATATACATAAATGATCAAACTACTTTTTTTCTAATACCGGGTATCTCCCAATTTTGAATGTTTGGAATAACGGATATATACGAACATATTTCTTTCATACATTTATTTTTGAATTGTTCTTTTAAAAAATCTAAACAATAATTTTTTTAATAACAGACCGCACATATTTAGCTTTATACACTTTAAAACATGTTGGATATTCATACTTGAAATACATTGCATATATTTTAAATTTACTACTATAATTCCATCAATTAACAACATCAATTTAAGTGTCATAATAAATCACCAATATCGTTTTCTATCTATCAGCAAATTTATAGTGTTTTGTAGAACAGAACAGTACTTTATTATCTCAAATCAATACATATACCAATGAGAGAACAGAACAAATGCAAGATTTCAAATACATGACATATTGTTTGTGCAAACAGTATTTTTGATATAAGGACCAGTCAAAAATATGACGACACAAATATATATACGGAACCCTCGGTACATATTTTTTCAAGTGATAAACATTTTAAATTTTAAAATGACTTATAATTTTGACTAATTGAATAAAAAAAAACTGTGTATTTTGAAACGACTGGTATGATTAAGTCTGCACTTAACCCTGGGTGTTTTTTTTTAAACGTGCATTGATTATGCCTGCAATAGATACAAATAACAAGTACAATTAACTCGTGTGTAAACGGTTATTTTAAAACAATACACATTGATTTAAAATGTAATATTCAATTACATTTATAAATTTATTGTCAAGAACAGGGAAAATCAATCTTGATCGAACTCGTTCGGCATGAGGAAAAAATAAACAAACATGTTATGTTGAATGAAAAGGGGCAATCATTAAAAATGTTATAACTGACATTATAAACAACTATTTTACACACACAAAAACATGTTTAACTGACATTTTTGACAACAATTACACAAAAAACACATTTAATATATAAATTTTACAAATGATCAAACTGGGAGGTTACAAAACCGCTCTATTTATCTACAAAACAAATGTTAATACTTACAATTAAAACACACAAATAGCGTAAATCCAAAAACTTAAATCACGGTTATCATTAACTAAATAGAAAGTAACTCTATCGTGTGGCAAGTATATATCAATTTAAACTATTGATCAGTACTAGGTAATCTGTATATAAATTGTTTGAACCCGGAAGAATTATATCATTATCTATCCAATCCGTATTTCACATGGTGAAAATCAAAGATGTATTGCTTTTATTGTTCATGAAATCGACATTGATAAAGACTTGATATCGATAGCCTAAAACAAAATAGCTTTAAATAGTGTCATTTGAGTGTCATTGGTAAAATATAAAACTCCGCACTGGTCGAAAAGATTTAGAAAGAAAAGTTTTAATCTTCCTGAATCCGAAAAAAAATGAGCCCAAGAAAACATTTTGCATTATTGAAAACTTAAGAATATTGATATCATGTGTCTATACATATAATAAGCATTTAATAAGGCAGCAATGAGACCAAAATAAAACGTAAAAAACAGTTTTTGACACCTTTCTTCACGTCAGGATTGTTATATTTTTCTGGTCCTTCAGGATCGTTGATCGCTGATTCCAGCACTTTTAAGCGTTGAAAATTGATTACCACTCAAGCCCGTGCTGGGGTGAGGGGATTTTACACTTTTTCATTATCCCTCATGTGGAGACTCAATCAAACCGAGTCTGCAATTTTTGTGTAATTTTGTTGTTATTAATGCTACCGAGGGATCACTTTTTTCCAGATATTCAGTTGTATTGAGTCAGTTCTGTTAATTGAAGAAAGTGAAAATAAAGGCTTCAGTTACATTGTATCAGTTCATGATGTGTTAATGAAGGTGTAACGTCTCTCACGTGAATTAGCACTGGTTAAAATCCTCTACATGTATCTCTGAAACAAACAATTATACATATCCAACATTTAATATTTCATCTAACAACCTAGATTTCTTTTGTGTCATACACCAAAAATTATGACAACAATGGCGGATGTTTACTTGAAAACTAATGAAAGCATTGGAAGTCGAACAAGAAAAGCTTTTTGGACTTCCAATGCTTTACATCGTTATTTGACTTTTAACCACTATATCAGCACAACATAACAAAACAAAAAAGTGTCTTTCCTCTTTCAAATTAACCACTGTTTTTAGATCTGACTTCCTTTGATATTAATTATATTTGCATTACTGAAGTAAAAAACATTTTATCTATTTTGCAAAAAATATTTGATGGTTAATGATATTTCTTATCATTTTTCACTTCATGTCAATTGTATATTATGATTATTGATTATTGATATGCTTATTTGTTAAATCATTTCAATGCATCAATCAGCCAACAATAAAGATCAATTTTACCTAGAGTTTGAAATAAACTTATGTTGAATAACATAATCAATATTCAAAGAACGGAATAAGAAATGAGAAAGGAAAGATCAACAAGGTAATGCGATGCGACATTCACTAAATGCAGTCCCCGAGCCACATCCCATCCACAACTTCAACAGATCCATCTGGAATCACACAGAATCATCGATAAAGTACCCAGCAGGAATTAGATGTCGCGTAACTTTATTCATGGGATAAAAATGACCAAATATGTGATAATATTCAGAAGAACAAAAAAGAAAGACGTAACCAAGCAGAATTAAATTTATTAAAGAAACAGATTAACAGATTAAACATGTAAAAATGTCAAGGGATTGAATCGTTCCGTATTTTAATAGTCGAAATGTACTAATACCTTGAGAAGTACTGCATGTAGCAGGTAGCAACTCGCAAGTGGCATGTTATGACCGGCATTATATTCTCGTAATTTTGGTAATTGAATGATAATGCCAAATCATGTGATTTTTCCAAAGCATTCAGAATGAATGGACATTGTCATTTGATTTATGGGCTGCGCCATCTTGGTAAAATAATTAATCTTTCGCAAGTCGGTATGTATGCAAATGTATTTCAATTAAAAGGCTCTGATGTATATTAGAAATGAATGATGACATTTATGCCTGAAAACCCTACTAAGCTATTATCAATTGATATTTTTAAAGATAAAACTGCTTCCCACTCCTCTACTTACAATGTAGAATCCTTATCTATAAGTTAATAAAGTTGCCTTAGAAGGAATTTTGGTTGGCAATAATTGTGAGAATAATAAAAAAAACAGTCCTTCTTGTTAACAGTACAACTTCCGAGGTGTCGAAATGTGGTAAGCTGCATGTAGCAAATGGCAAGTAGCAAATGGCAAGAAGTAAGTGGCATGTCTGGACCGGCATTCCATAGCCCTGGGTCCTATAAATGAGCAATTTTATGTTCAGTGTGGCCAAACACACAATTCCAAATATATGTATTTCAAAACACAAGCAGTTAATCAGTTGCTCAACATTATTCAAGGATATGCGACATACATTGAAGAAAATTAAAGGCTAATAACAATTTATATACATGTACACCCACCCATCTAAGAGGTCACTGGACTTCATCAGCAAGTGTATAAAACCAGCAAATTTTTCAAACATAAACTGTGCAAGATCATTTAGAAATAACGAAAACAATAGGGGTAAAAGATTTTCACCTTGACTTAAGCCAGCATTACTTGCAAAACATGAAATCTTATTACCAGCTTTTGCACATAACTTTGTTTGATTATATAAATTTTAACCCCTATAAATAAAAATTAACCAACATTTATGATCAATTATACTATACTTTCTAAAACCAGCTTGCTCTTCACACAAATATCATATGACTCTAGATACTTGTTCAGACGGTTATTTAATACAGTAATAAACAGTTTACCAAAACAACTTAATATAGATATGCCCCTGTAATTATCAGGGTCATTTACATCACCATTATATTTATGCAATGGTAAAATCACTCCCTCACTCCATATTTCTGGGAAAATACTACAGTCAAGAATAATATTAAACAAGAAATGTCGAAAGACACATATGCCCCCTTTCTAGCCCTTGACTCACATTATTGGTAATTTTGTTAGAGAAACTTGCCATAAATGGGTATTTTGAAGTATTCAATTATGGAAAAAAGAAAAATAATGAAAACTTTGCAATGAATAGGCCCCTGTGACCTTTACCTTTGACCTATTGACCATAAAATCTAAAGGGGTCACTTACTTGTTATGACCAATCAATATTAGAAATATGAAGACTTTGTGATGAAGAGTTTTCAAGATAATAAGCGGAAACCATTCTGATATTTAAGACCCCTGTGACCTTGACCTTTGGCCTAGTGACCCAAAAATCAAAAGGGATCATATACTGGTTGTGACCAATCATTATGTGACATATCAAGACTTTGTGATGAATACTTTAAAAGATAATCAGCAGAAACCATTTTGACATTTAAGGCCCCTGTGTCCTTGACCTTTGACCTAGTGACCCCCAAATCAATAGAGGTCATCTTCTAGTTATGATCAATCACTATATGAAATATGAAATCTTTGTGATGAATTCTTTTCAAGATAATCAGTGGAAACCATTTTGACATTTAAGGCCCCTGTGACCTTGACATTTGACCTTGTGACCCAAAAATCAATAGAGGTCATCTAATAAATATGACCGATCACTATGTGAAGTATGACGACTTAGTGATGAATACTTTACAAGATAATCAGCGGAAACCATTTTGACATTTAAGGCCCCTGTGACCTTGACCTTTGACCTAGTGACCCCAAAATCAATAGGGGTCATCTACTAGTTATGATCAATCACTATGTGAAGTATGACAATTTTGTGATGAATACTTTTTTAAGATAATCAGCGGAAACTATTTGATATTTAAGGCCCCTGTGACCTTGACCTTTGACCTAGTGACCCCAAAATCAATAGTTGTCATCTTCTAGTTATGACAAATCACTATGTGAAATATAAGACTTTGTGATAAATAGTTTTCAAGATAATCAGCGGAAACCATGTGGTCTACCGACGGACAGACCGATGGACCGACAGACCGACGGACCGACAGACAGACAGACCGACATTAGCAAAACAATATACCCCCTCTTCTTCGAAGGGGGGCATAACAATTTGCAAAACATAGGAAGCATAACAACTTGAGAACTTTTCAAATACTCTTTCAAAATGTTGTCAAAACTGACGACGCTTTTCCATACTTTAAAGATTTTGTGGCTGATGAGACAATGATGCATTCAACTCTTCATTTAATAAATGAAAGTCTTCAAAATTGACATCATCATACTGTGTGCAAACATCATTTACATTCTGATTAAGCTTATTAAAATACTCATAAAATACCTCACTAGAAATTTTATTCAAAACAGTTTTTCTTTCGCTTGAATATCTGTTTAAAAGAGCCCGGTAAGATTTAGGATCCATGTTTTGTAATCCTTTTATTTTTTTTGGTAACATCAGCATGAAATGACCTAAACTTAACATTGACTTCCTTTTTGTAACATTTACTACTTGTTATCAAAGTTTCATAGTTTGTAGTAGAGCGAAACCTTCTATATTTACCCTTGCATGCAAATACTGTTTGCGATACATTCTGCAAGACTCATCAAACCAGGGTAATTTACTATGATTAACAGACACATTACTTGTCCTACCTTTTTTACTAGACAGTTTTTGCTTTACAAAACAACATTTATTAGCATCATCCGAAATGACTCTTGAACATTTTTCAGTTAAGTCATTAATAGTTAAGTCATTAATAATAACTTCACTATAATTTTCACTAACATACAGGTCAGACAATTGCACATAAATATCATCTATTACATCATTGTCAAATTCTCATTTTGTAATATATGACAAACGAAATATTCTAAAATTGTTTATCAAATATATGCTGACAATATTTGAACATATCGCAAAACCTACGCCATTGCTGGCGATAATGAAACTTTCTTGTCGGTATAGCGACGAATTTCCTTATAAGGTCATTCATTAATAAAATATTCATAGATGAGTAAGAAGACATTTAACATAATGATTATTTTTTATAATACAACATATTTTTATAAACAAAATTATGATTTAACACTGATATAAAAAAAATATTATAATATTAATAATCGAGATGGGATAAACGTTGAACTTCGACAGGATCTCCATATTAACAGGCTTGAGGCAGTTTGTGTTGAAATTATTATTCACTCCAAAAAGACTTCTTGTCGGCGGTATTTATCGACCACCTGACTCATACAATGTATACGGGCAACTCCTGAAAAAAAGGGTCGACCGCGCTTTCTCTGTACAAACATATGACACAAAAGTTGCAGGTGATTTCAATATCAATACTCAGACATCATCCTCAAATAAGATGACTAGACTTATTGAATCCTATGATGCAGAGTAACGTATCACCTCTCTAACGCACTTCACTGAACATTCTTCTTCCTTGATATACCTCATATTTGTTAAGTACCACCAAA